TTGAAACTCACAACTTGCCGGAGGGGTGGCATGACTCTCTCGACTGGGCATGGGATGGAGAGACCGAGGACCCTGGGAGTCGAGTGCTGGGGGCGCAGCACAGTCACCCCCACTTACCTGGTCAGCGGGACTCTCCTCAAAATCCTGCCCAAACAGCAGAGTCAGGGAGCAACACCTACTGTGGATTTCCATTTTGTTTCAGTCTTGGGGGTGCTTAGGAGGGAGGGAGGGAGGGAGGGGAGGTCTGGAGGGATGGGGGAGGGGCGGTTATAACTCCAGACAACCAGTAAATGGGAATTTGATTTGGTTTGTTCCCACTGTCCCTTTCTAAACATGTGTGCACTCTTATTGGTAAAGAAAAGCCATAGACTTCTGTGGTCAGACTATGCTCATTGCCCTCCCCGATTGCCCAGTCACAACCATGCACTGCGGCCTGGCCAGGCATGGCCCTGCCAGTCAGCCTTTCCCCGGGGACCCGAGGGGTCCCAGGCTTCGAGCCACTGGGGAGAATGCACAGTGACCCCGATGCTTTTGCGGTGCAGACACTTCCCGTGCGGTGCTAACGGTCCCCTGTGTAATAGTTTATGTTCTAGGATGACCAAGTAGAAGAATACTTTGAAAAAAATTGATAAAGCCTTCTGGCTATACAGTGAGTCTTTTTTTTTTGTTTTTGTTTTTGTTTTTGTTTTGTTCTGTTTTCCCTTTGCCATATCGGAGCATTCCTTTGCCTGAGAGAGTGCCGTGATGATCAATAACGGGCCCCTGCCGCACCCTTAGCCCTTCCCCTGAGCAGCGCAAGACAGATTGAGCCGTGGGTCACAGAAACGTCCTTAAAGTGAAACAGACTGCCGATGTCTAAATTGCTTTTCTGTGATGGAACTGCTTGTACTCTATATCCTGTTCATAATGCAGATCGAATAAGATTACACTATTATTTTTCTTTTGCCGTAGCTCAGGACAGTGGTGAGTTTCAGACTCCTCTAGGTAAGGCCCAGCTTGGCGTAGGGGTTGTGTGTGCACCTGACCTGGGAATGGGCTTTTATTTCTCTCGTGTGCACTCTTCTGTGAGCTGAGGGTCCGAGGCTGACGGCGAGCTTGGCGCTGAGGAGCAGTGCACGGTGCACCTGGTTGTGTTGGGCTCTGCTGAACACTTCTCCAAACCCTCAGAGCACACCTCGCTCCTGGGCCTGCCCTGCGGGAGCCCGGCCGGAGCTCCGGCAGCCACCTTTGCATTCGCATTCTGTTTGTAAAGAGAGCAAACACGCTACCGCTATCATATCAGCTACTGACTCGAGCCCGGCAGCTTCTCAAAGAACAGAATTTGTAAACCCGCCTTCACGGCTCCTCCTGGCCCCTCCGGACAGCCAGGAGGCTTGCGGGGAGCGTAGCCTCATGGCGGAGGGTGGAGAAACCGAGCCACGGAGAGGCCCTCCCGGGCTTCGGCCCAGGGCGTATCCAGCTAGAGCCCAGTGAGGTGGCAGAGCTGGGGCCAGAATCTGCCTCAAGTATGTGTAGAGACCAGTCCAATAATAGCACAGTGCCTACCATGAGCTGAGCACTCACCAAGCACTGGGCAGAATGCAGAGGAAATGTTAGCTGTGGTCCTGCCCCCTGAGCATGATGATGTCATAATGTACGAATAATATCTTCAAGCTCCAGAGAGCAGGCATTCCCCTCCCTTCATATCCCTCCCTAGCAGACAGCTGGGGGATGGGCGTCCTTCTCCCATGCCCCTGTCCCGGTCCTCCCCTTCCTGCCCTGGTGGGGAAACAGCTGCAGGAGACAGGTCTTAGAGTACAGACCTATGTACACACACACACACTCCACACACACACACACACACACACACACACACACCACACAGGCCTTCTCGTCCTAACCTTTCATAAGCACGATTCTGAGCCTAAGACTTTCTGTTTGCTGGAGGTAGCTTTCCCCTGTAAGCTGTTCTTTAAAACTCTGAGCCTTTCTGCGTGTGCTTGGTGTGGTGCATGAAACGTCGATTCTTTGTGTTGCTCCCATCTCCAGGGGAGGTCGTGAGGGTTAGACCTCTGCTGTGTCCGTGGGGGGGTGGGGAGGGCTCCGAGGGGGCGGGAGGATGGAGGGGAGCCACAGCTAACGTAATCCTCACCCTTTCTCTGCTCCCCTTCCTGAGGGTTGGTGTTCGCTGCTCCCACCAGGAGACCCAGAGTAGGCCGAGCGCCCCTCCTCAGAGCTAGCTCCTCCTCCGGGGGGACGGCTCTGTGGGCACGAAGAGCCCAAGAGGGTCCTCTTCACCTCGGAGAGGCAGCAGGGCAGGGCTGGGCTGGGCAGGGGCAGCCAGGCCTCAGGGTTTGCAGGGTGGCCCGTGAGGAGGGGAGACGCGGGGCCGCGGCGGGACCTGTCTGGCTGACCCTCCCTTCCCTTACTTCCCCCGCAGGTGCCCATTCTGCATTTATTCCACCAACCGCCCCGCCGCCATGGAGTGCCACCTCAAGACCCACTACAAGATGGAGTACAAGTGCCGGATCTGCCAGATGGTGAAGGCCAACCAGCTGGAGCTGGAGACGCACACCCGGGAGCACCGCCTGGGCAACCACTACAAGTGCGACCAGTGCGGCTACCTGTCCAAGACGGCCAACAAGCTCATCGAGCATGTGCGCGTCCACACTGGGGAGCGGCCCTTCCACTGTGACCAGTGCAGCTACAGCTGCAAACGCAAGGACAATCTCAACCTGCACAAGAAGCTGAAGCACGCCCCCCGCCAGACCTTCAGCTGCGAAGAGTGCCTGTTCAAGACCACACACCCCTTCGTCTTCAGCCGCCACGTCAAGAAGCACCAGAGTGGGGACTGCCCCGAGGAGGACAGGAAGGGCCTGTGTCCGGCCCCCAAGAAGCCAGCCGGCCCCGGGGCCCCGCTCCTCATCGTCGGGAGCTCTCGGAACCTCCTGTCTCCCCTGTCGGTCATGTCCGCCTCCCAGGCTCTGCAGACCGTGGCCTTGTCCGCCGTCCACGGCAGCAGCTCGGAGCCCAACCTGGCACTCAAGGCTCTGGCCTTCGACGGCTCCCCTTTGCGCTTTGACAAGTACCGGAACTCGGATTTTGCCCATCTCATTCCCTTGACAATGTTGTACCCCAAGAACCACTTGGATCTCACATTCCACCCTCCCCGACCTCAGACGGCGCCCCCCAGCATCCCGTCCCCCAAACACTCCTTCCTCGCTTATCTCGGACTGAGAGAAAGAGCAGAGACTGTCTGAGGGCAGCATGTTCCGTACCAAAAACGAAGTGACAGAGACAGACACAACACAAACCCACAAAACTCACACACGACCCCAGCAGGTGTATGTTGCTGCAAAACCCACGGACCCCCCCCCCCGTGGGGGTCTGAACCACGTGTACTGTATGTCCATCTTTTGGAAGGACTAGAGAACAGGCTCTGTGTGTATACCTATTGCGTTGACCTGAAAGCTGCTTTATCCGATCTCCAGAGAGGTGACCTACTGCGTACATCTACCTTCAGAGGCATGCCTCCCCGGCCCCCCACGCCCACTCTCGGCCCTGCTCCCAGCCTTTCCCCGAAAGGAGTTTTTGTCTTGCTCAGCCCTAAAGAGAGTGTCCTTAATAGCAGTCAGCTTACCTACCGCTGCATTTTTTTTTTGTTTTCTGTTGGGTGAATGGGGTGTGTGGGCGTTTGTGGATTCCGAAAGAGAAAGCCGTGTGTCGTGTGCCATGAGATTTCTTTTGCACATCCTCTGTGCTGGCTTCTTTCGCCGCGATGAACATGATTTTCCCTCCTGGGTCGTTCATCCGCTGCAGTCCTTCCCCGAGCCCCTCCTTCACCGCCCGCTTCACGGCTGCAGCGTGGTGGGCCCGGTGCGCGGTCCATGAAGGAACGGGAGACGCCCACGGTGCTGCTGGAGATTTCCCACAGAGCCGGGGGCCACGTGCAGGCTCTCCTCTGGCCACGAAGACGCGAGGCAGCAGGAGTCCCGTCTGGAAGAAATGTCCCGCAGCACTGGGGCCAACCTCACAAAACTTAAGTGTGTTGTGTGTGTGTGTGTGTGTCCATGCATACACCATGCGTGTGGGACACACGCATGCATCATTTTTTAAGGGCAGATTATATATATATATATGATGTATTAATTCAGTGGTTACCATTTGTTTGCAGGAAGAAAAAAAAAATAGTATGAGTGGAAAATTTTATGGTGGATAAATCCAGCCAAGGAGATTAAAAGGGGTTTGGATCAATTCTGGGTATAAATGCTCAGACTAAAAAAAAAAAAAGAAGAAGAAGAAAGAAATGGCAGTTTTGCACAGTGCTTTGGACTTGCACTAGTTTTTGTTTCTCATCTGCAAAAAAAAAAGAAAAAGAAAAATGAAAATGAAAGAAAATGTACCTTTTATATGGAACGAGTAGACTGTATAGTTGGAAATTTTGTCACAAGCTCGTTGACCTATAACCACCCCAAAAACAAGGTGCTGTTCAGTCCTGCGGTTCCGTTTATGCCCCTGAGACGCGTCCATTGTGTTTGCAGGTCGCCTGGCTCTAGAGGCATTCTCCATGCTGGTAATAACTCTGTATTCCATTTTGTTAACGCCTGGTGGATGTAATCCGCTAGGAGGCTAACTTTATACTTATTTAAAGCTCTTATTTTGTGGTCATTAAAATGGCAACTTATGTGCAGCACTTTACTGCAGCAAGAAGCAGGTGTGATTGGTAGCGTAGCCCTTTGCTAATCTTTCAGAGTAGTGGGTGATTTAAAAAGGAGAAGAGGAAAAGAATCTTTGGTTGAATACGTTAAGCGCTTGTATTTTTAAGACAACAGCATTTCCTGTATGAAACAGGCTAAAAGAGCAGGAAGAAATGTGCTTTGTATGATGATGGGAAGCTTGGGATATAAAAGTTTATATATTATTTATCACTTGAACAACTGTGTACAGGAGGAATGCTTCTTACTGCATTGCTGTTTTCCATCAGGTGTTATCCTACAGTTGGAAATTTTATTTTATTTTTCCACCCGTTTCACCAGAGGAAAATAAAAGCATCCCTGATGTCCTTCCTCTAGTCAGCTTGCTTCGCTGAGAGCCCCATTGAAATTGGTACAGTTGTGCGGGAAGCCAGAAGGCCATACCATCTGTCCACACCATGATTCCCCAGGCACACACACACACACACACACCCTTCTTCCCCCAGGACCTAGCAGGTCTATTCCACTTCCCTTTGCCAGTCACGGGCCCTGGCAAGCCTGTTTACACTACGGAGATGCCCGGAGACAGGGAGGCTGAGTCGGCTAGGGCGGGAAGCTCTGCACCTTCTACCATCCTCCAGCAGATATCTGTTCTTGGCCACATGTGAGCCACCAACCAACCTCACCATGTCACTGTCTCAGCTAAAGACACTATAGACAAGTATAATACACTCCAAGAATAACGGGCTAATGGGTGGGTTGGTTTTTGGTGTGTTTTTTTTTTTTTTTTTAAGTTATGTCTTTATCCCCATATAATGGAGAATGTGCCACTTGGCTAATAATGTGCTTTCAAAATTACAAGTTCAGTGATGACAGGAGAGAGGGCCACGGGATCCCACAGAGGCTGGCAGGAAAGGTGACTCACAGGATGGCACCAGCAGGTTAAAAACCTGACGGGGCGGCCCTGACTATCAGGACGACAGCCCTTACAGCATGCCTCTTGTGCAATATGAGGTCCTAGGCTGAAACCTGGGAGGCCGGGAGAGGCGTTGGAAGGAAGGAGACGTTTACCGTTCAAATGCCGTGTATTTCCCTGCTTGCCACTGAACTTGTATTTGAATTACTTCGTTATGCTTAATGTAATTGGGCAACTTTTTTAGCACTTTGGAAAGAGTCATCAATCTTTCTGGTAAATTATTAAAAAAAAAAAGTTTTCTGAGTGAGAAAAGGTGTGTTTGGAGTTTGTTTGACTTTTTATATTATTATTATTGTTATTAATAAAGAAAAAAATTTACAGCATTTTTCAGACTCCACTGAGGTAATATGCGCCCCTGAATTTGGTTTGCAGTTTGATACTCAGGGAAGGATGTATTCCACAGATATCCTTTCCGTGCAAAACACTAACGTCTTTGAGAAATTCACCTGCCAACTAACTTCAGTTGTTTTCACTATGCATTCTTCGATGAAAGCTAGCTTATTTTCCCCATAGCAATGCAGTTAGTGTTCTCAGCACTTTCCTTCTACTCTTTTTTTTTAACCCCTCATGTTATGTTCAGATGATCATATCAAGGTTTGTGTACATTACTGAAAATTTGTATTGTATAAAGCTTTTTGCATTACAAGGCTGTACAGGGTCATTTTGACAGTAACTGGTATATTCCTTTGCATCTTATGTTGCATTGCCAATTTCTAGTGTATCCAGTTTGGAAGTATAATATACTCTAATTAAAAAAAAAAAAAAAAAAAGGTTGGCTATACTCTTGTTTCTTTTTCTTTCTTGGTTGCCATCCTTGACTACGTGTTAGTCTCAGGGTTTGGTTTGTCTTGCATTGTTCCGATTTTTACTTTTCAAGTGTATTTTAAATGAGTTTAGGAAATGCCCACTACTAGGGATAACATCTACAAAATGCAAGTTTTGAACAGCCATGCTAATAATGCACACTTATTATGTCAAGTCATTAGCAGCCATTAGGTTGAGAGTATAACCATCATTCAGTACAGGCCAGCTCCTTCCTGACATTACTTTGTGGCATTTAAAAGTCTTCACCAGCCTTACCCTCTCCTGCTTAACATCATTTCATTGACCCCATAGCCCAAAGGGTGGGTGGGGAGGGGAGGGGGACAGATGAATAATTCCATTTATCTTAATGAAGTTTGACAACTATGAGATTTTAATGAGGAGAGGTGGGAATGGTATGTGTGAAAGCGAAATAGTAATCTATTCAAATACAAGGAATAGTCCATTCAAAGAAAGGTACCAGAGAAAGAAAAGAGAAAAAACACACTGTTAAAACAATAATTTTTTAAAGCCCATTTTAAAGTGCTATCATTAGCCACTTTCCCCCATGAACCTGTGTTGGTTGATAAAAAAAAAGGTAGCAGAAGAGAATGTTTTGCCTGGTTCACAACTGGCACGTTTATAAGTGTAACATCCTCAGCTCACCGCAAGAAATGACGAATTGCTTCACATAACATTCAGAAAGATCAAATTTACTTTTTGTAACATGAGGTAATGTAGGAGAAACCACTTTGAAAGTGACTGGTCACTCATCAGACAGTTTTTCCCCCTCCATTTTTTTCATCCAATAGCCATTTCGTAGGTGATTGAATTAAGTTCTCTCACGTGATTCAAATTCCAGTGTTATTCTGGGGTGGCTGGTGCTTATTGAAAACATTAACATAAGTCAGGCTTCTTTCCTTTTATCTAATGCTAGAGGCAGAAGTGGCCTCTCCTTTTGCATACACAGTTTTTTCCTTCGATTCCACATACCTACGTCACCTATTTTCCCTGTGGTTGAGAAAGGCCAGAAATGTCAAGAAAATAGTCATCCGTTTGGTCATGGTTTCCCCTGGAGTGGGGACTGAGGAATGGCTGGGTGGGAGCCATCCCCGGCCACGTTGGAGCAGACCGCACCCCCTCCCATCTCCAGGTACCTACAGAGACCACACGTGGAAGGGGCCTCCCCAAGCCAGCAATGCAGCTCCTATTTGAATTCAATCCAAGATCATACTTAAACTTTTCCTCCTGTCATGTTCAATCTATGTGAGGCTGAGACTCAAGGCCATGTTTTCTATAATGTGTCTGCGTCTGATTGGCTCTATTCCGGGGCTCCCGGAAAACTGCCCCTGGCCCTTTCACAGCCACAGTTCTGGACACAGGAACAGGGTCAAGCAGGCGGACACAGGCAGCCCCTTCCCTAGAGTCAGAAGCCTCACGTTAGGCCACTTCCTGCCAATAGGCATGGAGGGCTCATGAAAATTTGAAGGGAAAGGTACATCTGGTCAGTTGTCTAAACACAGAAATCAGGTCACGTGCTTCCGATCCTGGGAAGGAGAACCAAGAGTTGTTCAATGCACTGAATGGGCTGGAAGGGGGGCCGGGGAGGAAGTGGGGGAGAGAGCAGCTGAGCAATTTCATCCCTGCTTCCAGAAGACAGAGAACGGAAAACTGGAATCCTTCCCCAGATGGCCTTAGACCTTGTGAGCAAAACCACAGGAGAATCTGTGGTTGATGGCTTCTCAGAGTGGAGTCCCACCCAGTGTCCATTTTTATCCTGTGATTTTGCTCGCAGGATCTACTCAAGAGACCCCAGCCAACATTCTTACTACTATCACTCTCTCAAAGCAGAACAGTCCCACTAAAATGAGGTGTATTTTGCAAATAACTGCAACTAGTGCCCATCAAGCAGATTCTGGGGTAGGTAAAGTGCAGTGACTATGGGGACCGCTCTTTCGACCCACCCAGGGTCTGAATGGTCTCTGGTTAGCAACGGAGATCTCTTCTTTGCGAGGTAGCAGACCTCCCATTCACAACTGTCCTGCCAGCTGGGTCTGGAACACGAAATATAAATCCTTGCATTGGTAGGAGCATCACAGGGGAAAGGAAATCCATTGTTCTATCCCCGTGGAATTTCTTTTTTCTTAAAATATATTTTTATTGACTTCAGAGAGGAAGGGAGATGTAGAAACATCGATGAGAGAGAATCATTGATTGGCTGCCTCCTGCACGCCCCTACTAGGTTTCAAGCCCGCAACCTGGGCATGTGCTGTGACAGGGAATCAAACCCTGATCTCCTGGTTCATAGGTCGTTGCTCGACCACTAAGCCACACAGGTGATGATGGAATTCCCTTTTGATAGAGTGTTAATCACCCCTTAGTTTTTTAGAGAATTATAGTCCTAGAGCAGAAAATCTACCTCAATTCATACTTCAGAATGATTTCCCCTACCCCAGTCTTGTTAGTGGCTTTCTACCTGATGGAGTGAGAATGTCTGGATTACAGGGTCATAACCGTGGAGACAGATCACCTTAGTTCAAAGCCTGGCTTGTAAGTACCTAATATATATTTTTATTTACTTCAGAGGGAGGAGGGGAGAGGGAGAGAGAGAGAGAAACATCAGTGATGAAAGAGAATCATCAATCAGTTGCCTCCTGCACACCCCACACTGGGAATCCAGCCTGCAACCTGGGCATGTGCCCTGACTGGGAATCAAAACGTGACCTCCTGGTTCATAGGTTGACACTCAACCACTGAGCCATGCCAGCCCCACTGGAAGCACCTTTTAAAAAAAAATTGAACTAGATGATCTCCAAGACCCACTTAACAGATAACCTACAATATACAGTCAGTCCTCACTTAATATCATCAGAGGTTCTTCGACTTTAAGCAGAGTGACCTATAGAAACAGTTTTACCCCTGGGTAACTGAAAGAAGAGTTTAGTTCCTACATCATCTTACCAACGTTACAATAAATGCTCAGTGGACAAAAGTATGTTGTTTGAGGACTTGCTGTGCTAGCTAGGATTCTATGACTCTTCCTAAACAAGCAAAGTGGTCACAGAGCGGAATCTTTGCAAGGCAACTGTAGCAAAAATGGCACCTTGACATTTTCAAGCCACAGCAGACTGAAGGAGGGGGGAAAATGGCTAAAAATATTTTTCTGCCCACTTCAGAGTTTGGGAGGTCTAAAATGTTTCTCTTCTGATTAAACACTAATTCATCAGGCTTGGATTGCCTGCAGTCATCTTGAGGGTGGTTCAACCTATTTTTATCAAATGGCAGTGCCCAATCTGCTGGGATGAGTTAGGATTGGGATGGCAAGGTGTTGCCCTGCCCAGCTCCGTATCTCTTCTTCTCACCCCTTCTTTTCCCGCCACATGACTGTTTCCAACCTTCTCCAGGTGACGCATGCAATTGTGACCATTGAGAAATCTGCCAACCACGCTTCCAGTGTTTTCCATAGAAGGATAAATGGTTTCTTTTAACAGGCAATGAAAAACATGTTCGTTTTAATATAATAAAAGAAAATACTAAACATTCTTATTCTGCCACCTGTTTAAAAAGACTCTCAGCCCATGGAAGATCCCAGGCACTCACACTGGATGGAAAGATCACGTGTTTACCGAGACACGGTGAAGGAACTGACCTGTCCCCAGCATCAGATGAGTAGGAGAGCATGCACTGGGCGAGGACCCGGAAGTTTATCTAGCCACCCTCCAGCCCGAATGTGGGTTCCACCCAAACCAGCCCAGGATGCTGTGTCTTTATAGTAAGAGAGATTCCAAGGTGGGAGAAGCATCTCTTGGCTTCAGTGTTCTCTCAGCTTTTTTTAAACTGCAGTTCTTATTGGTAGTCCACAGACTTTGCAGGGTGCCCCTCTCCCCTTAGGTCCCAGTTCAAGCAGAGTATGTTAGGACATTCTCCGGGCACTGGGTTTGATTAGCATTTGCAGTCTCAGTCTATCTATCTATCTATCTATCTATCTATCTATCATCTATTTTCTGAGTTTCCCTAAAATGCAGAGCCCTGAATTATCATTTATTTTAATAGATACTAAGAAATAAATAATAATTTTGAAAGCTCAGTAATAATCTATCCAAATGTAAGTAATAGTTCATTCAAAGGAAGGTACAAGAGAAAGAAATGGAAGCAAAAAGTAAATAAATAAATCAAGCGCACTGTGGAAACATTTTCTAAAACCCATTTGAAAGCGCTATCGTTAACGACCTTCCCCATGAACCTGTGGTGGTTGATAAAAAAGATAAAGTAGCAGAAGAAAATGTTTTGCGTGGTTCCAAATAGCTTGTTTTGGAAAGCAAGCCCAGAAACAAAAGTGGGGAACTAGAAAAAGCGAGGCAAGTAAGAGCACTGGCCAGCTTGTCACTGCTGTGAGCACCTGGGTGGCAGCCCCTCTGGGCACCCTCCAGGGGAGCTGTGACCTCAGAATCCACAGCCCAGGGACAGAAGGAAGAAGGGGCTCACGGAGCCCCAGCGAGGGCTGGCTCCTCTGCACCCCCAGGTTTGCCCATCACTGATAGTGGCTGAGTACTTTACACAGGCAGACAAGGGGGTGGCAAAGGAGCTAGCGGTGCTGACAGCGAGAGATGCTTGGGGAAGCTGAGGTGAAGTGCTGTCGATCACACCTGACTGTAGCTGGTTGTTACAGCAAAGCCTGGGCTGAGAAGGTAAGTTTGTAAGGTGAGGAATAACAGGTTTCCAATAAAACGATCATACTTGGCAAGAATGTTGGCATCGTGTTAGCCTCTAAACCAGTGTTGGCTGCACATCCAACCTATCAGGTTAGCTCAAAAGTCATCTTTTCCCCAAGGACAGTGCTGGGTTATGGTGCTCAGGAATGGAAGAGTGGCATCTGAGAAGCAGGTAAAGGCTCTCTCATCTCTGTGGAAGTCTCATTAGAGTCCTCCCTTCCTTGAGATTTGCCTTTTGATTTCTCTATTGGGATTGAGCTCTTCTGGGAAACCATTAAAAGGAAGTCACTTGACAGGGACATGAGTTGCCTCCCATCTCAGAGAGCCCTAGGAAAGCCCTAGGAGAGCCCTAGGAGAGCCAAAATGGGACTGAAAGAAAGGAGCCATCCCCCAGGCACTGAGGCCAGCTCAAGCCCAAGCAAAAGGCATCCTGGGGCTCTCCAAGGTCCCAACCTACTATGAGTGGGGCTACAACCCTGGGGTTGGCAGCCAGACCTCAGCTAGGAATTAAAAAGCTACATTTGCCTGGCATTTTCTTTGTACATATATATCCCTCAGAACATATCCCTTTGTACATATATATCCCTTGTACTGAACAAGGCAGTATCTGTCCTCGTGGAAAACAGCTGATTGAAAAGTGAAATATTCAGGATGTAGGTGATTTCTGTTTCTTTCCATCTCTAATCACAACCAGCAGCCTTTTTACTAATGGAAGACTGGGCTAAGCATAGAGGACATACATAATATAGATATCAATATATGTATTGGATGAGGACATCCAGAAGGAAAATCATGAATTTTATTATCCTGGGAATCACAATATTAAAAGATAATATTTTTCATTTTTCCTCTGCACTGATGAAAACAAATACAGGTTGATAAAGGAGAACATATGAAAAGAATAATTAAGGGTCAAAGAAATCTCATTAATCAATACCCCCTTGCCCATCTTCCCTAAAATTAAATAAATGGGCACAGCCATGGGTCATCGCCATACTATCAGTCAGGCTCCCATATCTTTATGGCATCAGACAATAAACACACCAGCAGTGTTGGCTGAATATGCAGGAGTCTTGATTACACTAAGAGGCCATGTATCTTCTCTGATGGGCGGATAATTAAATTTCCTGCTGATGAAGGACTTGACAATTTGGCTCATCTGCCTGTGAATAAGGCTGGATGCATGATTTTGTGTCACAGCATCCTGTCTTCAAATATGTGTCCCTCACATTACCCATAATCCAATGCCTCTCTCATTATTATCTACACTTATTCTTCACAACCCAAAGATGTCATTCCCTTGGCCACATTCTAAAGCAAGTCCAAGCCAATGAGAAGCAGGTAAAAGCTCTCTACCAATCCCTTCTTTCCCCACCCCCTGCCCTATCCCCTGCTGGTGGTCCTCTGCCACCCTAACCTTGACCAATTTCTCTCGGCCCTTCATTCATTATTTAATGAGCGACAAGAATGCGGAAAATCATATGCTAGTAGCTGATAAGAAATGGAGATAAACAAGGCACATTTCCTAGGTTTAAGAAGTTTACCAACCAACAGAAGAAACATGTTGAATAAATTCATTATAATACCAGGAAAACACACATAAATTGCTATGGAACTATTGAATAAAGAGCTCCTAATTCCAACAAGGTGAGAGGACACTTTGGGGAGATTGGGGGGGGGGGGGGGAGGGTGTAGTATGCAAATAGCAATCTAAAGGGTGGGCCAGGCTGTCATGGGCAGGAAAAGTGGGAGGGCTTTCCAGATTGAGAGAACAGCTTGGAGAAAGACAAGACTGTGAGAAATTGCATGATGAGGCTTTGTTGAGCTAGGAGATTAATGAAACTAAACAAAACCATCTTGTGCAAGGGCTTCGGAACCCTTGTTAAAGGAACCAAACATCTGAACTACTCTCTAGTTAATAAGAACTAAGAAAAAAGTTTGTTTTCAGAAGATAATTCTAGCAGCGCTACAAAAGCAAGGCTCAAAATACAAAAAAAAAAAAAAAAAAAAAAAAAAGCAGAGATGAGGTATGTTCAAACATTTCCTAAACTGAAACCATCATCTTCTTCTTCTGATCTGCCTCTTAATCATGTATTCCTTAGCCCAATAAAGGCACATCTTTCCTCAAAGTTACCCAAGCTACAAAACTGGGCGTCAACTTTGCCCCCCTCTATTTCTCCTTCTATTTTCACTTTATACACACACACACATACACACACACACACACACACACACACACACACATACACACCTGGCTTTCCTTGGACAGCTAATCCATTGGAGTCCTATTTATTTTACCTACAAAGTACTTTATGAATCAAGATAGATTCAGAACATCCTGGTGCAGGTCCTCAGCATCCTTGCCAGTGTCTAGCAATAGTTTCCAGTATGAATAGGACATTCCTGTGTAGGAAAGACTGTGAAAAAATTAATTCCAAGGCTCAGAAGGGTGTTCATGATCGGACCTGTACACATAGAGATGCTATTGGGAGCCAACAGAGAGGATGAGAACAGCACGGTAGCAATAGCAACAATGACAACAACAACAAAAGCCCCAAAGACAGCACTATAGGAGATGTCAACTTCTAATGGAGAAGAGGAGGAAGCAACACAAGAGACTGAGAAGAAATAATCAGAAAAGCAGTAGCCAAGCACAACATTGTTAGGAGAAGCTAAGGCCAGAGAGGTTTTGATATGAACTTGTACAGAGGATGAGTGGGTGAGATTGGATCTAGAGACTTTCTATCCATTTGATTGTCCTTGGTGATTTTTAAGGATCCAGTTCCAGTGACAGGTTGGGGTGAAAACATAATTGCAATAGATTAAAGAATGAATTGATGGTGAGGAGCTGGGAACAAGGAGAAAGTCAGCTCTTGTATTCAGTTTGGTCTTGCTAGAAAAAACAATCATGCTGATCTAGTGCTTGCCAAGAGATGCCAAATATACCCTTCCCTCTCAGGGAAAGCTAACCCGTCCCATTCCTACTTCCCATTCCTACTTCACGTGCCTTCAAAGAAGAGAAGCGAAAGCTGCCCAGGTTACAATCCCCAGCCACACTCTGACCAATTGTTCACATTCCCTTCCGTATACCTCATCCTTTGAAGTGGCTCAGTCTATCTTCACACCATCCCTGTTATTACTATCTGCCTGGTCCAGTTTCTTCAGCCAAAGAAATCTGCAAGAAATGGGCTGCAGAGATAAGATTCAACAGCACTTCACCCAAGTATAAGAGTCTAGAGAAGTGCAAAAAGAAAGCCCGGGGATAGAGTCACCCACTATCCTGTGTGGGTCAGAATAATGTACTTTAGTCAGAATTATAAAACAAAGGTTGCAGTGTGGCCTGGCCAACAACTCAGTGGTTGAGCCTCAACCTGTGAACCAGGAGGTCATGGTTCAATTCCTGGTCAGGACACATGCCTGGGTCCAAGGCTTGATCCCCAGTGTGGGGCATGTAGGAGACAGCTGATCAGTGATTCTCTTTCATCACTGATGCTTCTATCTATTTTCCCTTTTTGTTTCTCTCTAAAATCAATAATACACTAAGTGGCCAGATTATTATAATCTCTGAACACATAATAATCTGGCCACTCAGTGTGTGTGTGTGTGTGTGTGTGTGTGTGTGTGTGTGTGTGTATTAGAGGCCTGGTGCATGAATTCGTGCATGGGTGGGGTCTGGCCAGCATGGCCAAGGGGAGGGGACATGGGCAGTTGGCCAGCCTGCCTGCTGGTCGAACTCCTGGTTGAGGGGACAATTTGCATAAAAGCCTTTTATTATATAGAATATACACTGAGTGGCCAGATTATTATGTGTTTAGAGATCATAATAATCTGGACACTCAGTGTATATATTTAAGATTGCAGTGTAGAAGGATAAAGGATTAGAAGGGAATATGACACCTCTCTTAAAAACATGATGGACATGGCCGGAGAACACTGACTTAGCCACCAAAACGCCTAAGATGAGACCTGGGGTAAACTGGGAAGCTTAAAAGAAGTGGCTTACGTTGGAGGACTGGGCCCCTGCTGCCCTGAAAGCAAGGCTTTCCAACCCTTCGGAAGGGGCACTCCACTGCCGCTGGGAAAAAGCCACGCTCGCTGCCACCTCACCGACAGGGAAAAATGACCCTCATCAGACAGAACAGAAAGAAAGCTACTGGGTTTTATGAGCTAGAGATGAAATAATCTGTTTTTTATTAAATAGCATGAGAAAGTTATTAATTCATGCCAGAAGCACAAATGTAAATATTATCATTTTGCAGGCACTCGTTCTGAAGGAGGCCATCTGGCAGAGCCGTGCAGACCGCACTTTGAGAAGCAGAGGGAATGTGTCACCACGCCGGCCCATCCACGGACGCAGCAGGTCCAGACGCAGGGAAAATGTAAGGGTTTTGAGGGGAGCACTTTGCAGTAATGACATCTGCTAGATACTTGTTGCGTGTTTCTCTAGAGGCGGGCCTGCTTTCACAAATGCTGTTATATGAAAACCGAAAACTTCAAAACAAGTTGGGTGGTCATTATTACAGAACCTCTCGCTGGGGCACCGCATTCCAGAAAGGTGTTTGTGGACAATCTTCCGGAGCATTCGTTGTTTAATGTGCAGATTGGAGGGAAGAGGAATGAGAATGTAGGAAATCTAAAGAATTGGGAGCCACCATCCATTCTAGACTAACCTAAAATTGAAAAAACAGCAACTTTGAAATAAAGTATATGCATGGGCCCTGGCTGGTTTGGCTCAGTGGATAGGGCATTGGCCTGAAGACTGAAGGGTCCTAGGTTCAATTCCAGACAAGGAACATGTCTGGCTTGCGGGCTCGATCCCCAGTGGGGGGCATGTAGGAGGCAACTGATCAAAGATTCTCATTATTGATGTTTCTATCTCTCTCTCCCTCTCCCTTCCTCTCTGAAATCACTAAAAATATTTTTTTAAAAATAAAGTATACAGTGGTCAAGGACAATAGGGGGGTGGGGGCATGAGTGGGGTGGGGTGGAGGATTGGAATGGGGGGGTTGAGGACAAATATATGACACCTTAATCAATAAAGAAATTTTTAAAAAAGTATATGCATGGTTGGTTTGTTGTTATTTTTCTAATATAAAAATGCAGTTTTAAAAAACCTCACACTATCACATCTTTTGCAGAAGGCGGGGTGTAAATATATCATTTGGAAAGCACATCACCCTCTCTGGGGATGGATCAAGCACCAGTTGTACACAAAGTGGAGGAAACCTTGCATCCAGAAGAGAAGAAATGCTGACACAGCTGGAAGAAATGTCCGGTTTCCTTGAGAAGCCAAGCAAACTGTTCACCTGGTCACCTACATTCTCCTGGACTTCATTTTGTTTGTATCTCTCCCTCCGTTTGCTCAGAGATGCAATTATGGGTTGATTGAATATGGGTTCTGCATTTGACCCTATCCCAAATCTCTCTCCTTTATGTCACATGTCAACTCCAATGAGTGGATGTAGAGAATCTATGGAACACATTCCAGAGTCTAGACAAGGGGAGGTCAGCAGAACTTGATGTTGACAGCTTTCAAGTATGTGACAGTTCATTCCCTTCAAGACTATCAGGCATCCACCTGCCCAGGTTCAGTCACTATGCATGAGTCATCTATAACGGGCCACGTTATACATTAAATGGCATAAGTATGACACACTACCCTGTTTCCCCGAAAATAAGACAGTGTCTTATATTAATTTTTTCTCCCAAAGTTGCGCTAGGTCTTATTTTCAGGGGATGTCTTATCTTTCCATGTGCTAGGTCTTGTTTTCGGAGGATGTCTTATTTTCGGGGAAACACGGTACTTGCTTAGGATGTCTCAAATTCTAGTGAGAATAGCAGCAACTACCAACTAGGAGTTCCGTGCTTGTCAGGGGTGGCGGGCTGCAGCTGCTCAAGCCGTAATTACAGCTTAGTTAGGAGAGCAATTCAAATTATACAGGCTGCACATGTTTGCCGTCTCTCATATCAAATACTTTCAGGTGTATATTACAAGTGGAAGAAATAGCCAGTTCTTGTGCGATCCAAATATCCTAGGACAGTGGTCGGCAAACTGCAGCTCTGTTGACTAATGAGTTTGCCGACTACTGGGATAGGGGCTTAATCAAAAGGAACAACAACAGCCTGTAATTATTGGAATTGAGAGTCTATCAGGGGTCCTCAAACTTTTTAAAGTGGGGGCCAGATCACGGTCCCTCAGAGAGCTGGAGGGCCGGACTATATGAACTACTAATTCCTACTGTAACACCTCGGCTGCGCTCACTGCCCAAAAAACCTGGCGGGCCGGATCAGACTCCTCTGCGGGCCGCATGTGGCCCGCGGGCCGTAGTTTGAAGACGCCTGGTAGTGGTTGGCAAACTCATTAGTCAACAGAGCAGCAAACCGTAGCTCAAGAGCCACATGTGGCTCGCAAGCCACAGTTTGCCGATCACTGTCCTAGGAGAATTGGGACCCTCAGTGGCTACTTGTATATTCCTCATACTTTTGAAAGTTTAATAACTACTTTTGTTCTTTTTAAAAGGCAGCACATGAACATGTTAAAATAAAAACGAATTCAATGATTATGTTTCAAGATGAATAACTTCATTTTGTTTGCACCTTCTGCCTTTACTTGCTCAGAGACACTACTGTGGGTTGAGCTTTCCCAAATCTCTCCGCCCTGGGCCACACGTCAACTCCAGTGGGTGGACTGAGAGAATCTCTGGAAGGATTCCTCGGCAGAGAGGAGTGAGCTTCTGGGGAGGCCGGCAGAGCTTCATACACCACCCCTGCAGCCAAGAGTCCTGACCTGCTCTAAGCTTGGTCACTGCGCTGTCTTCTTCGTCCAAATCTGTAATCTATTCATGACAGCTCAGACGGTAACAAATTACAGAAATGAGTGAACAAACTATTTGTCTATTCTTCTTGTAAGCTACTAGCCATAAAATAAAATAAAATAAAAAGAACATTTAGGTAGGCAGTGAAAGATGAGTAAGAGAGAATGAGCAGTATAGAGAAATGGCAGGACTTCAGAGCATCTAATTATATTTACTCATAAAAGAAGAAACCAGCCCTGGCTGGTTTGACTCAATGGATAGAGTGTCGACCCACGGACTGAAAAGTCCTGGGTTTGATTCTGGTCAAGGACACATACCTTGGTTGCAGTCTCGATCTCCAGCCCTGGTCCGGGAGCATGTGGGAGGCAACCAATCAATGTATCCCTCTCACATCAATATTTCTCTCTCTTTCTCTCTGTCTCTCCCCCTCCTTCCCA